ATAATCTCCTCCTGTACCAGTCAGATCTGATTTGACGGTACACTCACACAAAAATAATAAAATAAAAAAATTGTAAAAAAAAGTATTAGAGGGAAAAGATTTTTCTTTCTTTTATTATTTGGGTAAAAACTTACAAATCATATCTAGTTTTCATTCAGTTATTCTTAGACATGAATTAAAGTTGAACTCAATTATAATTTATTAATGTAATTCATTAATCAGAATGTCCAATCAATCCTTTGTTTCATATATTGCTTTTCTCTTGATCCACTTCATGGCGAGATCTTTATGATTCACAAATTCTGGCATTCTTTGAGATTCCTCCGAGACGTTGGGATGCACTACAAAAATGTGACAGTATCTCATATCCTGTCCTAGCTGCCTGTGTTCTATGTGTGACATTGAACAATCATTGTTCTCTCTTGGTGTCATTGTTGTTAATTATCAAGTGTGTGAGAGAGAGAGCTCGTTTCAAGGATTTCTCAGCACCTTTCACTGAGAAAATTAAGTCTCATGGAGAAATAGAAAGGCATTATTAAAAGTAGAATGTTAGAAAGAATTCAAATAACCTACCTAAAGTTATGACCAGTGGGGTAAACACCTTCACAAACAAGATTTCACCGAAACCCGGAAGATACTGAAATTTAAGTTAAGCCTGGACAGAAACTACCCAGCAAAGGATTAGACTTTATCCTTTCAAAGGTCAATGGCTAAGAATTAAAGCTGCTTCAGGAAGATATGAAAAGAGAAATAAAATGTGTTATCCCAAGAAGATACCTGGGTGAAATTACTTGTATTTATAGATAATTAGAATTCTCCAAAGAAATTAAGAACACACACACACACACACACACACACACACACTCTCTCTCTCTCTCTCTCTCTCTCTCTCTACATGGATACATAAAGATATGCATGTACATGTGTGTGAGAGTCATTCATGTGCTATCTAACTTCCATTTCAGCACATTTGACATCAGAGTATGCACCTCTGCTCTCAAGCCCTGTAAAGCCTGCTGTTGTTGTTATTGTAAAGCCTACTATATTAAAAAAAATAAAGGTACAGATAATGTTTTCTGATGACAAAGGATGCTACTTTGTGGCACCCATCAAAACATCATTCCTATTATTTTTGTTAGGTGCCCTAGGTCGACTTTGACTCATCATGACACAAACGTGGAACCCCTGTAGGTCCTGGGTGTTCCATATCCCAATCCCAGGTCGTTCCCAATCCGGGTGTTCCCAATCCCAGTCATGGCTGGGCCACTGTCCTAGCCATTATGTTCATCCATTTCAGTGAGAACCTCTCCTTCCTTTGACCCACCACCTTATCAAGCATTATTATTATTACTGTGCTATCACGTTACATACTTGGTGTATCTGCAATTGTTTCATTAATTTTTGCAGGCATCATAGAAAAGTATAATATATATTATATATTAGCATAATATTTTATATATATATATATATATAATTTTTGCAGGCATCATAGAAAAGTATAATATATATTATATATTAGCATAATATTTGAGTGACTGTCTTTAGCTAGAACCATACCTAAATATTCTGACTTACATATAAATTCATATGAAAATAGATCGAGGAACAAAAGTCCTTCATACTATCTGGATTGTCTAAACCTACCAGTGTTTCCATGATGTCTAAATTTTACGAGGTCCTAAGTTACCAGCACTGTTAAGTGATAAGGTCGTGTGTACATGTGTGTGTCTATTAGCTTGATGGCATAGTGTGTTACGTTCCCTGATGCTAACTGACAGTCCAATGGTTCAAATACATCTGCTATGACAAAGTAAAAAGTGCCTTGAAGCACTTACTGCAAGAAAATAAAAAATGACAAGCTTCAATATTAAATACATCTCAACATCAAGAAAACCAAATTCTCATCAATGAAATAGACATAATGATAGACAGGAGAGGGGAAAAAGTTATCAGCAATTTCATAATCTTTGAAGTCATAATCAACACTTGTTGTAGGAGCAGTCAAGAAATTGGGAAATGGGATTCCCAAGGCAAAACAGGTGCAGCATTGAGTAAACCTGCTGTCAAAGACCTCTCCAAACTGCTACGGAGCAACTCTGTCGGTTTAAAGACTAAGGTGTGCATCATGTTAGGAATGGTATTTTAATTGCTTTCTGTGTAGCGGAAAGTTGCAAAATGAATAAGGATGAGATAATAACAATTGATGCCTTTGAATTGTGATGTCTGTGAAGAGTATCGAATATCTCATGAACTGCCAAGAGAACAAACAAGTCTGTCAATCTGTCTTGGAGAAGAGGCAACCAGGTCACTCCTTAGAGGCAAGGATGGGGAAACTTAGACTGATACACTTTGGGCACATTGCCCTGGTGAGTCTGTCCTGGGCGGGGGTGGGAGGGTGTCATGCTAGGAAAGGTGAAGGTCAGAGAAAGCTAGGTAGACCCTCAACAAGATGATCTGACACAGTGCCTGTGGCCATGGGCTCCTGCCCGCTGGAGGAGCTGAGGCTGACGCAGGGTAATGTAAGGGTCTAATGTGTTGTTTATGAGCTTACGATGGCGGAGGTCTGGTGACCTAGTAGCAGAAAGCTGCACTGTGAACCCCAATGCACGGTCTTCGAATCTACTAGTCAGTCCTAGGGAGAAAGATAAACAGTCTCTAACGGTGAGCCAGCTATGAAGTGGCTACAATGAGTGAGCAAGGGTCACTGGGAGTCAGAGTGGGTTTCATGGCAGCCACAGCAAACAGATCCAGGAAGAGGATATATATATATATACATATACATATACATATACATATACATATACATATACATATACATATACATATACATACATACAGACAGACATTTCTAAGAAGCCTCCATGCAAGGACCCCATTGAAAATCACTGAAACAGAGAAAGATGGGATAAATAATGTATACTGCATTGAAACAGATGAGGGAGAAAACTGTTTAAAAGGGGCATATGATTAGGTATTATTGTCATGACAGGAGTCCAGAATGAACACTGCATAGTGGAGCGGACTTGGGGGGAGGGATTGTATAACAATGAAAGATTTTTTTTTAACTTTTCTAAAAGAAGAGTAACCTGGGGAGGGGAGGACGTTGGGCAGGGAGAAAAGTGCAACAATGAATGAACAGAAATCCAAAGTCTCTGTAAACTTTCGTTAAAATGAATAATAATAATGAAAAAAAGAAAATCACTGACACACTCACATGTACACACACACATATGCACGCGCGCGCACACGCGCACACATACAATTATAGGAAGAAAAACAAATATAGACCCAGATATTCCAGTTACCATATTTGTGGCACAAAATTTAACTAAGAACACTAATGGATGTTGCCCACCAACATGCCAAGATGTAGTTCAAGTTCATTATGTTTTATGGAATTATGATGACATAGGCATAAAAACATCCTTTAACACTGACTTCCTACTACTCATGCATCACAGGAAAATCCTACTGAGTATGCAAATCTAACAGTAGCATGTGTGTGAACATCATTAGAATTCATTAATACTCTTTCTCCATTGATTTAAACATATTAATTAGGACAAAGCCCAGGCCAGGAGTTGAACTCTTGAACTATATGCACAGCTTAATCATCATCGTACCGCAGTGATTAGAACAATTATGGGATACTGTGAAAAATTCATTTGCTGAAGCTAAGCCAACAACTTTGAATTTGTGTTGAAAAACAATTACTGAGCTTAATTAGGAGCATGTAACGATGACAGCAGTTATTTCAGTGATTGATTCCAAAATTAAAGAGAGCTGGCAAACTAAGTGCAGCTTAGCCCGGCTGTGAAAATGGAAGAGGGCGGGCAGGGCCAGAGGTCATGGCTTGGAAGCAGATTCTGAAAGGCAGCAGCACCAGGCTGGCAGGGAGGAGGTTGGGGTCTCAAGACGGGCTTCGGGAGAATGGAGGTCTCTGCTTTTCTTCTTTGAACTGAAAATTAGAAACTGTCTATACACATTCCTCTAAAGCAAAAAGAAAACAAGAACACCCTACAACTTGGCACAAAATCTAGACAAACAAAATGTACACTTTTTTTAAAAACAGTTGTCTTCCAGCTCCCTTTCATTAAAGAGAAATTGGCTGAATAATTTAAGAGTGGCAGGGTTGACTCAAAACCTGTGATTAATTTGATATTTGATCAGTCAGTTTTCAACTTTCACAAGCTCATAAGTCCCTCTTTACTGTCCATTTATTAGCCCAACCAGCTTCCGGTGCTGGTTCACCACGCTCCTGACAAAGTCAATGACCTCTGGATTCTGTAAAATCTCATTTCTCTCTGACAATTAGTCAGCCTTACTAAGCCATTTTGTTAGTAGGATCTTGGGATGCCGTTGGAAACCATAGTTAACATGGGTGGAGATTTTAAATCATGGCTTTCAAGATGGCTGTATTCGACAGGAAGAGGCCAATCATTTATTTTTCTGAAAGACTGATTGTCTTAATTCCACTTTTAAATCCATATTTCCTAATTGGCCTGTATGGCTCTACTAAGCTTGTACTCTGGGAATGTATTCCACCCAATCTGTAATATCTAAAGTTCAAAGTGTTTGGAGTTTAGGCAAAAACAAGTCTGGAAAAAATAAAAAAGACCAGATTGCCTAATAATTGTCTATTAGGTCAAAGAGATCCATATTAGCTTTGTCAGTTGCTACTGAATTGGCTCCTAGTCATGGTGATTCGACACATTAAAAAAAAAAGTTTCAAAGAAGGAAGGAAGGAAGGAGAGAGAGAGAAAAGAAAAGAAAAGAGGAAAGGAAAGGAAAAGGAAAAGGGAAAGGGAAAGGGAAAGGAAAAGGAAAGACAAGACAAGACAAGAAAAGACAAGACAATACTCCTGGACACTCTTTCATCTTAAAATGGACACATCAAATTTCTGGAACTATCTTCAGCTTTTTAAAAATCTGTGCAACTGTCAGAACCTTCAGCTGGATGGTTCTCCTACTGAGGACTGCTGACGAATAGGCCCAAAGAATTTTGCTTCCTAAAAGAAAAGCCTCTCAGACCACATTTGGGTTGCTCAAGCAGTTTTAGGTTGATGTTTTTACATATTGTTGACGTACTTCCATCATCCACTTCCCAAATAGCTTGCTTCTGGAAACCCTATGAACTTGGAGAAATGAAGAAAGCTATACAAGTGTTCAGGTCTTTTGTTCACAGGCCTGCTAAGAGTCGTCTACAGACTTGATGGCACCTAACAACAACAACTTTCATCATGATTAATATTCCAAGTAACTGAGTAGCAGAGATAACCAGGTCCTACAGAAGTCCTCCTGTTACTGTTTGGTTGTCGACCTCAATTTGACATTGTTGAATCTTAGCCAGCACCTTTGTGTCTTTTGCAAAATGCCTTTCTTAGATTTCTATCTGAATTATCGTTGACATTCCATTTTGCGGCATCCAGTTCTGTGTTCAGGTATGGTATATGTTACCTGAGAAGTCACTGCAGAAGTAGAATGGCTGGTGTCTGGATTGCCTGAATGTCTGTTATTTCTTACGCTAAAAGTTCTATGAAAAAAAAAATATGTGTGTGTGTGTATGTTGTTGTTGTTTGATGTCGTTGAGTCGTAGACGACTCATAGCGACCCTATGAATGAACGGCCTGAGCAGTGTTCATACATAGAGTTTCTGAAGGCAAGCCATTTCGGAAGTGGATGCCGCTCCTGCTTCCAGATACACACACACACACACACACACACACACACCCCTATTTTTTTTTCTCTCCTGTGTACGTGTTTGTCCTCAATAAAGGATAAAGGATCTGATTACTACTATCCCCCAGTTTATGAAAACAATTAGCTTTGGTGAAACTGGCAACTTTTACTTCCATATTTGGTTTTGGCTTTGGAGACAAATTCCAACTGCATGTTAAGACAGATAACAGGCCACTTCGTGTATTAGAAATGTAATTTGATTTTTTTCCCTTGAAGGTGGATGCAAAATGGCACAGATATTGATTTTACCTCGAGTTATCACTACAGGTTGGATGGAGGCAATCTGGTGATCAGCTGGCCCCACACAGACCAGGACGTGGGCATGTACCAGTGCCTGGCCACCAACCCCCTGGGGACGATTCTCAGTCGCAAGGCGAAACTACAGTTTGCATGTGAGTTTGGGAAAAAAGGAAATTTTCTTCTTCTCTGTGTTTCTGAAAATATAACGTCCTTTTAATATGTGTGTTTTATCGGGAAAAAAATTAGCTTTGCTGATAATCTGTCCTCTGAGAACAAACATGAATTTATGGAGTTAAAGAGTTCTGATACCCATGCGTTTAGTGAATCAAGAAATCCTAGGTTCTAAGAATCTCTTTCACAAAAAGGAGTTATGTTTCATTATATTCAGTGCATTATTTTTCAGAATCACCTTTCAAAGATCTTCACATAAATATTATGATAAAAATATATCACTTGTTTCATTCTTTTTTTTTTCCTTTGGCTATTAGTGTAAGGCACAAAGAGAGAAAAAGCTGAGGGCAGGGGTGTCTGTGGGAGGTGAATGTTCTTCCGGAGAAAGTGATCAAGCACCCCCAGCTTGGTGTAGGTGGAAATAAAGAGTTTGCCAAAGGCAAGCTTTAAATTAACTGTAACAATGTCCAGCTGCGTCACATAAATGTCATCCAAGTAATTACCTTGGTGACATTTGGGACATTAGCAGATGAACATTAGACATACTGCTTCTTACATCCTTTATATGTAGTGTTTCCAGGGACTGAAATGTTTCATATTGGAGCAAAGGAAAACTTCTCAAGAGCAATCATTTCTGCTGAGGTGGGTGGAGAGGGAGGCCTGCATTCATTCCGCTCCCTTTCTGCCTCCTTCCCAGCCCCCTAAACCCCGACCCCGGGGGATACCAGGAAGCCCAAGAATTAGGTCCCAGCCCCCTAAACCCCGACCCCAGGAGATACCAGGAAGCCCAATAATTAGGTCTTCCCCTTTCAGGAAAGATTGGTGCTATCTGTGGCTCTTAAAGAATAATCATTTTGGAATTTTATTACTAAAATTCCTGGAACCAGTCTGGGGAACTAGTTCATACGTCAGTAGGTATTTGAATTAATAATTGTGTCTATTTCTCACAGCAAGTCTGTCATAAAGGTAATTAAAAGGTGTCACCTAAGACTCCCTGGCATGTGTATTTCTCCTAGGTTGACTATGTGGGGTGTGGTCTTTTTTCTGACTGAAGATAAAAAAAATCACTACATATACAATTTCTGCCTAAGCATTTAGAGGTCCCTAAATGTCTTTATATGTGTGGAAATAAAATAATGAGGTAAAAATAGTCTGTGGGTCTGAATGTGAATGAGAAACTGTTTATTATGTTGAAGCTTAGGGAAAAGAGAATTGCAAAACTTTATCCTTTCTTAAGCCAATATCACAAAGTGTTCGGCTTTAAAGAAAATAAATAATTGTCTCACAGTCACAAAGGCTAGGAGCCACATTAAAGTCATTGGCAATCAATGGGAACCAGAAGAGACGGGGTGATAGTAGGCATAGATCAATAATGATTGGGTATGAAACACAGTGCTTTGAATGATTACATGAAACACAATATAAATGGAAGACTGTAAGGGTCGCTACAGGTCGTACTTGTACTTGACTCTCAAGGACACCTAACAACAACAACATAAAGGAAACACAATGTAAGCAAATTATTGTACGCAATCCAATTAAAAAAGTTAAATTTAAAAAGACAAAAATTTGAAAGTCATTGATAAGACCCATCCTCTCTTTCTGCTCCACAGGAAGATCCTTCCTTGTTTTTTTCACCAATTAAATTTAAAAAAAAAAAAACAAACTCAGCTCTTTCAGGTTAATTTCCACTCAGTGACCCTTTCTTAGTCTGTAAATCTTTACACGGGGAAACTGTCGCCCTTCTCTCATGGAGCAACTGGTGAACTTAAACCGCTAAGCTTCCAGTTTGCAGTCTAATATGTTATATCACCACAGTCAAGCAGAATTACTTCTTAGTGTTCCTTGACTTCGAGACAGATGTGTGTTCACATGGAATCTGCCCTATACTCTTCCTCTGTCTCTTGTCTTTATACAAGACCCTGTTCAGAAAAGATTAGTAATGAACCAACTGGCGTGCTGTTTAATTTAACTGGTATCGTCTTTTAAAAAAGATCCTTTTTCTCACAAATTTAGAGGCTAAGACTTCAACATATTATTTTTGATGGGAATGCAACTCTATGTACAACATGATTGAACTACTTTTGGTTTGTTTTTATGGTTGGTGGCTTTTTGGGGTTTTTTGGGGGGTGAGTTGGTTTCGGGTTTTTGTTTTTTATTCTGTATCGAGAAAGATTTACATGAGTGTGAATTCATCTGTTAACAAGAATACACCTTAAACTTGAGCAGCATGTTTGAGTCACCTGTAAAGTATGTTCTTCCATTTTCTGTGTCCATGAATACATTTGTTATTTCACCTAAGTCAATTTCAAACAATACAGAACTTCTAATAAAGAAATGTAAAGTAGAAAATCAGTAGAAAAAGAGGAAGGTTTTCAAAGGGGTGGATTGACCCAGAGGCCACAGTGTTCGACTCAAGCTTGGCAAATCTTGTGAGGATCGTGCATACCGACCTTTCCTTCTGATATGTTCAGTGTAGCTCTGAGTAAACCACTTCATCATCCAGTAACAAGAAGAATAAAAAGCAAGCTGAGAAATTCTAACATATCTGGCTGCTAAATCAAAGCTCAGCAATTCAACTTCACTAGGCACTCTGAGAGAGAAAGAAGGGATTCACCCGTAAAGATTAGCAGTCCCAGAAACTTGCTGGGAGGTTGCTATGAGTCAGACCAGTCAAAAGGGTAGTGAGTTCTGGAAGTTTCCATGCCTGGTACAGCTGAGTGGTGTGTATTTTCGTACCATTGACCATGTGGTTTGCAAGGTTAAGTAGGAAAAAAAATAGTGATATTTTAGCTCAGAAGTCACATTCACATTTACAAATTATTTCTTTTAATCTTATTTTTTAAAATATAGGATGTTAATTATGAAAAAAAATTGCAAAATATTTTCTCAAATTTTCTTACAATAAATGACATTTGTTTTTGTTGTTGCTGTTGTTGTTATGTGCAGTTGAGTCTCCTGCGACTCATAGCAACCCTATGTACAACAGCTCTAAACCCTGCTCTATCCTGTGCCAATCTCATCTTCTCTAACACACCTACCCCCATTACTCCAGTCACTGAATCAATCCATCTCATAGAGGCTCTTCTCCTCTTGGACTGTCCCTTCACCCTCCGAAACATGATGTCCCTCTCCAAGGACTGGTCCCTCCTCGCAACATGTCCAAACAATGTCATATAAAAAACTCCAAAATTCTTGTCTCCAAGGAGCATCCTGGTCTTACCCTCTCTAGGATGAATCTGTTCGTTTTCTTACCAGTCATGGTATATTTAATGCTCTTCTCCAGCACCATAGATCAAAGGCTTCAAATATCCTTTTATCATCCTTAGTCATTGCCCAGTTCTCTGATGCATAATAAGTCATTGTAATGCCCACATAAATAAATGCATCATTCCAGGACTCTTTCAGAGAGACAGAAAATACCTAATCAAGAGCTAGTTTTTTATTTGCTAGTGTTTGTTCTGATAAAGCATCAGAGTTCAAATGTCAAATATGAAGTTCCTGAAGTGCTGAATTTACAATCTTCAATTTAACATGAATCCCTTACTACCTCCAGTATGTTTTGGCGAGTGTTTCTCTCATTTAAAAGCCTTTAGGAAAGCATAAAAACAGTGATGGTTATTTGTGGAGTTTTTTAGATTCAGACAGGTTCAGACATCACCTCTGTATATCAAGCTGTATGGCATTACACCACCTGCCAAGACCATTGAAGTCTGTTGTCTCAGAATGTCCATTTCTAGGTTCATCTAGTCTCCATAGCTCCAGAAAAGTCTGGAGTTCAAGATAACTTGAAGTTAGTTTCTACATTTTGTCCCTTTTCTGCCGGTAATATTAGTAAAAATGTTCAGTAAAGGGAGCCAAGCATCATCCAGGATTTCTGACCTTCAACAAAAGCAGCTTTTTTCCCTGGAGTCAGTTAGCCACACACTTCCTCCATCCTCCTCTCCGCCTACATTCCTTCCAGACACCACTTTGAGGCTCCTCCTGGTGAATAGAGATTAATTTCATGTGTGGATGGCTATTTGCAAACTTTAAGACCTCAGTTATCACTCATCTTACTAAGAAGTCAAACAGAAGCTTCAAGCATGTAGTTAAGCCAGTTACCTGGCATGTTCCCAGTAATGTGTGATCCTGAAGCTCCAAGCCAAATTAACAAATCCTGTGAAGATTTTGGGGCACACAAGCCCCCACAGGTGACACTCTGTTTAGGCCATTATTGTAAGTATATCTATGACAACTATTGCCAATGGAACTTTTTCCAGGTGTACAAATTATTGAGAGAAATTACACTAATCATTGCAAACCCTATTTTCTTTCCCTCTTCTGTACATCCAGGAATCATTAATAAATATTGGTCTCTGTACATGTGTCTTCTCTTCTCTTGTTGGGCAATTGCGCTCAGGTCAAACAAGATTTTGTGTGTGTGTGTGTGTGTGTGTGTGTGTGTGTGTGTCATTGCCTTGATTTACTCAACACAATGTCATTGAGTTCCATCCATATTATAGGAACTGTGAGCAGTTCCATTTCCCTTTGCCTTGGTAATCTCTCGTATGTGCTCAGTGTTGTCCAGGCCTCTGCTGCTGGGCGCCTAGGGTGTTACCACTGTTAGTTATTAGTTATGATGAAAAGTGCATCAGTGCACGTTGATACTCTTGAGTACCTGTTTCCAGTCTTTATGCGGATAGCTCAGAGTGGAGTTGTCGGGTCATATGGTGGTGGTTTTTTCTTTTTTAGGAATTGCTGCACTGTTTCCCAAAATGGTTGGATCATTTTGTATTCTCTCCAGCAATGATTCGTGTGAGAATTGGGTTATGTTAAGGTGCATTACTAGACTACCAGTTGGAACTTGAGTCTATGGATTCACATGTCAAAATTCATGTCCTTTATTTCACCTTATGCAGTTTTCTGCCCACATGGATTATGGACCTTCTTCCTTTACTTTGACTTCTTTTAGTCATATGCACTGTTAAATAAGACACTA